GAGGGAGACCGTGCAATTGTATGTTCTCCTTAACAACTCTTCTGTGCACTACATTTTACTGTTGACGTAAAAATAACTCAGTGTTTACAGCAAAAAAATTCTCTTAACTAGCTGTATCTTTTAATCAGCAATTTCCAAGAAGATTTTCTTTACTACAGAAAAAGATTCACATCTAAAGCCTTGGGATGGATGGATTTTTTTTTTTTTTTTTAAATTACATTTCACATAATTTACTTTTCATAATACTTGAAAATTATGTTAATTGATGTGCCTGGCTAAATCCAGATACACTTTGGTATTGGCTTTAGGAAGAAACAATCTCTTTTCTGCAGGCATTACTGACTTGGAGGCACTGTTGCCAATGGGAGTGGTGCCATAAACCATTTGGAAACTAAAGCAATTCTGGTTTATGGAATGTGTGTAACTGTATTGGGCTGATGCTGTGCCTGATCTGAAAATAACTATCTTTGGAGACATAACAGTAAAAGTCTTGTTTTTTCTATATCTATAAGGCATTCATTTTCATAACTTGAAAGTTATTCTGGAGAACTGCCTATGAAGGAAGGATAACTTTCAGGCTTGTACACTAAATAGGTCACTAAGATGGCCTAGTACAACTTCTGTCCATGTTTCTTTGTTGTCCTTTAATGACAGTTGCCAAAAATAAACGTCCACAGAAACAGCTGTTGTAATATTGGAAGAATGATTGCTACAGTGGATGGAGACAGTCCGTGTCATTGAACTGGTGAGAAGGAGATAGCTGCTCTCCCTGCTGCAAATCCCACTTTTGTAAGCAGTAACAGTTTGGAAGTGAAAGGTTTATCACTCGAAACACTGACAGCATGTTCATCAAACAGTGTCTGTAAGAGCAAAAGCAAAACAGCTGCTGCCCCTTCTCCCATGCCCAGCACACACATCCTCACAGGTTATGTGGGCACCCTCTGAAGGGAAAAGAAATGCCACAGTCTTGTTCCTTGTGACACTGAGGAAACATGAGCCAATGTGAAACTGTGCGATCTGAAAACACGGTGTGAAGAGAGTGCAACTCACCAGGCACGAGGTCTCCATTCGCTGTGTTATCTGCAGAGGAGCTGCTGAGGAAGCATTTGTTGTCTGCAGGGCTGAATTCATTGCTTTCCTTCTGCAAGGCACCATGGATTTTAGGTGCACTTGAGGTAAGATGGGAGGAGCATCTCAGACCAGTGTGGAAGCCTTAGTCCTTCTGTGCTTATCCAAAAAAAAAAAAAAAGTTAAATCTTGGGATTTGGGGAGAATAAGAGGAAATTTTCTCAAATTTCAACCCTTATATTTGCTTACAGAATATTTTTTTAATACCCTTGAAAATGTAGACATCCTGTTTCTCTTGAAGTGAACTTCCTCAATACTAGATGGTGTGAAGCTAAAAGAAATACATACATATTTTGTGCCCCGTACCCGGCACTGGTGCAGCCACAGCTTGAATCCTGTGTTCAGCTTTGGAACTCCACACTATAGGAAGGACATTGAGGTGCTGCAGCAGGTCCAGAGAAAGGGCAGTGGAGCTGATGAAGGGTCTGGAGCACAAGTCTTATGAGAAGCAGCTGAGGGAGCTGGAGGTGTTCAGTCTGGAGCAAAGTAGTCTTAGGGGAGACCTTCTCTTTCTCTAGAACTGCCTGAAAGGAGGTTATAGTGAGATGGGGATCAATCCTTCTCCCAGGTAAAATGTGATAGGACAAGAGGAAATGGCCTTGAGTTGCACCAGGGGAGGTTTAGACTGGCTATTAGGAAAAATGTCTTCACTGAAAGGGTGGCCAGGCATTGGAACAGGCTGCCCAGGGAAGTGGTGGAATCACCATCCCTGGAAGTGTTCTAAAGCTGTGGGGATGTGACACTTGGGGACGCAGTTTAGTGGTGAATACAGCAGTGCTGGGTTAAGAGTTGGACTCTATCTTGGAAGTCTTTTCCAACCTAAACAATTCTGTCAGTCTGTGTTCATATTTAAGTTGGTTTGTTTTTAGAAACAAAGGTGTTACTGTAATAGAGAAGATCAATGGTCTATTGTTTTGCTTTATGTCTGACAGTAATGTGTGGTTGGTACAACTGCCAGAAATTTCAAAGTTGTTTCAGTAGAACTCTAAAAAATGGTATGACAGGTGGACAACAATTCAAACCCATGCATGTGTGAGGCCTGGTGTCACTTACATAGATGCTGTGGTTGGCTTTATTTATAAAGGTTTCAAATCTTATGCAGAGAATGGAGACTAACTGCTGTCATTATGCTGTATTCTAATTTCACACAACTTGTTTTAGGTGAATACATTTTTTTCATCAGCAAAAAAACCCCAAACCATATCCAATTTGAAAAACATACATTTCTAAAGCCTAGTTTGAGTCTTCATCAACCTGAATAAAGTGCCAGAGTCTTGATCAATCAGATGGCAGCTGGGGCTGGAAAAAGCTGAAGCACATGGTGTCATTGTTATAAAAGACAATCCTTTCAATGGAATCAATTCAGGAGACAGGATGTCAATATGTTGTTTATTTTCCATTCATATCTTCCAGCTAAAACCAATTTATTCCTAAACGTCTATCTGGCTCAGGCTTGGCCAGATCAAAAGGGGAGATGGCTAAATTTTCTTTTCCTTGTCCACCCCTCCTCAAAATCATTTTGGATGTGCTGTTTTCCTCTCCGTCTTTCAAACAGTTTGAGTAAAACTTCTGTCATATGTACAAAGGATACTTTTTTGCTCCATATAACTTATCCATTGCTTCTGTCAAAAATTGTAGTGTGCCCCACTGCCCCTTTCTATGTGTGATGGCTACTCCATATGGTTTATTCAATTTTTTTCAATTGTACATTGTAAAATCAGACTTAATTATTAAGAAAATCCAAGTAAGAAGCTGAAATGGATTCTGACTGCTGTTGCCCTTCATTCTGCTAGCAATCCTCCTGTAATGAGTACAGCTAGTACTTGTTCAAGAACAGATGGTCTAAGGGTTTTTATAGTGTAGGGAACAGGTTTTCCAATGCCAAAATTGCTTATAATATTTCAGTAAACAACATAATTTTTAAATACAAAGTTAGAATTAACATAAATCTAGACAATTGCTTTGTAGGAGGTCTCTTTCATGAAGGAAAAAAACCTGAAATTGAACCTGAATCCCTATAATTTTGAAGTCAGTTTGCCAAGAATTGTAATTGCTCCATTTTTCCCCCCAGAAATGCATAAATACATAAAATCTATTAGTATATCAAAACTAATTTCTGAGCCATGGTCCTTATTTTTAAGAGGCAAAACGAGAAATGCTATTGGTGTTTAATGATGCTTAAATGCTGAAAAGTTTTTATTATTAACAATTGGCAAGTTAAACAGGATATTGATTTTTTTCCTTACTTTATTTTACTCTTGTTGCTGTTGGGTAATTAGGTTTGGTGGCCATGTTTGCTTAAGAATTTTTTGATGATGTAAAGTTTGCTTATTTAAGGGAAGAAAATAGATTCAAATTATGAGCCAGCATGAGTCAGGACGGTCTACTAGTCGTGGAAGGCAAGTTGGCAGACCTAGGTTTGGTCCCATGCCAGTCACCAGTATCTTGTGAGCTCTGAGTCCCCTCTGAAATCTGAGTCTTCTTCAGCTCCCTGTGATGGGGACTCTCAGATGGGTTACAGATACACACTGTCAGCAGTAATCTGAAAAACTCCCAATGTTAATGCACCCAGCAGTTTAATAATGATGCCTCTTACCAATATAAACTTCATTGAGCTTGCTGTGAAACAAAACTAACATCCTTGTGCAGTGAGGATGAGGGAAACTGAAAATTTGGGCCTAAGGAGAGAGGAAATTTTTGAGCTCCATGCCTGGAGCCACCCATGGGAGAAAGAGGTGTTTTTGTGATGGTGGGTTCTGGCAAAGGGGTTTTCAGTCTTTCACAGAAACAAACACTGCTTTGCAGGACCAGCTACAAGACTGGTGTCGTTAAGGTAGAAAGGAAACCATTTTCCCTTCCTCAAAAGAATAGTGTGCTAGACCTAAGTTAGCAGGCAGAAATCTGAAGTCCAAATTTGGCTCAGGTTTAAGTAAAATTACCCACAATTTTTTGACACACCATTAGTCATAAGCACTGAGTGGTTTTGAGAGTGAGGGAGAGAAAGTTTGAGTGAGTCAACAGGCTACTGTGCTGCATGCTGTTATACATCCAGTGTTTGAAACCTTAAAGAGATGTGGTCCTGTGCAAATCAACAGAATTTAAAAGCTTTAATATGTTCTTTCAAAGCCCTTTTATTTTGCAGACAAGGTCATTATCAGTTGGACTTAAAAAGCCATTTCCCTTTTCCCTGCAGACAACATCAGTGGGAATTCACTGAGCTGGTTCACATCATTGCTGTAGGTGTGTGGCTGTGCAGGATCTGGCCCAGTGAGAGCAAAGGTTTCATGCATACCTTTGATGTGGGGGGGAAAAAAAGAAAAAGGCTTTTCCAGACACGCCTCCCCTGGCAGCCTGGTCATGCAGCAGAGAGACAGGGTGGTTTTGCCTGCTGCTGAATCAGCACTGATCTTGGCAGATGTGGAGCAGATACGCCTGGCAGAAGCTCTAAGACCAAAACAGAGGGTCTGTGCAGTTCTTGTTGAGCAATAGATTATAGTATTCTTGAGGGGAACAGTTTCGAGGTCCAGGAGGTAGAGATCAGGCAGCAAAGGCTTCCATCGTGCTGAAATTAAACCCATTCAGGGGAAGTAAGCCTGCCTTCAGAAAATCATTTTGTCAGGGGAAAAGCAGATCCCAGCTAATTTCTCTGAATGCTCTGTTTTAACAGCAAATAGAACTCTTGCTGGCTTCACCTCCATCTTAGCGAGTGTTTTACCCCCATTTCCCCCTGCACGACGCGGGAATAGGCAGTGTCAAGGTTAAACCTGGTCGCAAGCTTTTGTTAAGGTGTCGTGCCTGCTTGCGAAGGCAAGGCACCTGCCAGGCATGCCCAGTCAGCCCTAGGAGCCGGCTCTCCCTGCGCTCAGGCTTTGGGAGGCTGGAGCACAAAGAGCGCTTGTTGCCCCAGTCCCCGGGAGTCTCCCAGTGCTACCACTAGCTGGGGAGGACTGGTTACCATGGAGGCTGCCATCTGTTCGCTCCCTGCTGGAATGTGATTATCCTCGCTGGGTTGGGAACCAGCAAAAGCAAGGGAGCGTGTGCTGTCGGCAATTATCTGCAATGGAGTGCGTTAATGGAAGGCTGGAATTAGCTAGCTGGAGGAGCACATAAAAGGATTTTATCAAAACTATTAATGATTTCTAGCCAAGAGGAGTAAGCTTTTCTGCAAGGTCAGTACTAAATTCATTCTTTACGTAGGCAATTTTTAATTGGTGTGGTGGCTTTATGATTTAAGGATGGCAGCACCACGGAAATAATGCTTATTGTTAAGAGGGTGTGTGGGGGGACTGTGTTTTAAGGATCTTTGTTTGTCTGTTTCAGTTCGAGCAGTTTAATTTGGGGTTGTTAAAGTAGTAAGTCAGAACAATAACTGGCCGAACTGACACAAATGGAGCAATTCGTACCTCTTGTCTTTATGAAATGCTGTTTGCTGCCAAATCTGTTTGATTCACGTCTTTTCACGCTAATTGCTTTTTGTCTGAGTGATATCTTTTTGGATGTGGTACGTGTTTGGTTTTCGTACTGGCATGAAGGGTGAGAGGAGGGAGAAATGTTCAAACAGAGCTGGTGATACAATGGATGTTTAGGGTGTTTTATGCAGTTTGCTCAGAGGAAGCAGCGTAAGGGAGACAGAATGCAGGAGCAGGTTTTCCACTCTTCGTTCCCACCCTCTGCCCCTCTTTCTAACTCACCAACTGACCAAACACTTCGGACTATTTCTCTTAAAGAGCTTAATTGTATGGAGACTTGTCAGGAGTTTTCAGAATACTCTGCAAATATTATGACTGTTTCGATGGCAGGATTTCATTTAAAGGGGAAAATAAAATTAGAAGTATATGCTTATAAGGTTTTTGTGTCCTATAAAAGACTTTTTTTTGTTGTAGTTTAGGAGCTAGGAGTGTTATTTCTTTTCATAATAAATGAATGATGAACATTTTAGTGCAATTCAAATTACTGACTTAAACGAGGAGCATTAAAATTTTGCACCCCATATAGACAAAATGTTACTTCAGCAGATGTTTTTAGTCACATATGGGCTTTCCCTTTTCAGATAAAGGTTTTATGCTGCATCCCTCTTGCCAGAACTGCCATTTTTATTTGGTGCAGGGGAGGACACTACCAGAGGCTTTTAATTAAAACTGTGTCAGTTCTAATTCAACCTATTTGCCCCCTGCTTTTATGCACTGAAAATGTCGGTATATTGGAGTCTGGAGGGGAAGTTACTAAGAGAGTTAATAAGTCACGATTGCAACATATTTGCCTTGGATAAATTTTTAACCTAGAAGATGCTTTCCAAGTCTTGGTGCCTCACAAAAGTGCATGTGGGAGATTGAGGGGGTTTTTATTTCTTTGAGTACTTTAACTGTTTGTGATGTGTGAGCTTTTCTTGCGCTTGTGGGAGGCTGGTATATGTGCATGAAGTCCTTTCAGACTTTTATGCTACGCTTGCACGTTGGTGGAACTGGGTGAGCACTCTAAATAGAAGCTGTATCATCTTATAATTAAAAAAAAAACACCCACACCTTTTTTTAACCCCTTCCTTTCCCAAAATTTAGCTATTGCATTGCCGTTTGAGTGGGTGATTTATGCAAAACTTGCTTTTAATGGGCTGCAGTGGACTTGTTCACACGTGCAAGTCACCGGTCTGGAATTGCGTTGTTAAAAAGAGTGCAGGGGGCAGATTGGCTTTTGTGCTTGGAAAGAGATTAGACTTTCACCCTTCAGATGCTACGCTGGACCTAGCTGGAGGGAAGGGCAACCACCCCAAGGTTATGCTGGTGTGGGATGTGTTTCTATTCCCTGGTGTCTTTCTAGGAAGGTTGCTGTTGCCCACAGGGTTCACTGTCGCTGTGTGTGTGAATGATAGTCTCATTGGCAAGTCTTCACAGACAGCAACAATCATATCGACATTAAGGTAAAGGCTTGTATATCCTTTCCAGAGGTGATTTTTCCTGATTGCTAACTGGTGGTGTGTTGAGAAGCTTGTTTTTCCACTGACTTTGCTAAACCTGTTTCAAGGATAAATAGGGGACTTTGCATTCTGCATGCTCCAGCTCTTGTTATATTCTCTGATAAGCACCATGCAAATATCCAAATAGTCTTCAGCAAACAATTTTTTTTATTTCTGTCTGGATTGGTGTGCATGTGTCTGTTGGTTACTTATTTTTTATTATTAAATTTTACTTTAGGTCACTAGGTCAGTGTTGATTTGTGGATGCAGGATTTAAAGGCTAGACACTCTTTAATCCATTTGTACATCTGGCCTTTCATAGTAGACATCCCATTTCCGTGTAACAGAGGAGTTGTTAAATGTCTGTTGGAAACTAATGATTTTTTTTTTTTTAAAGACTGTTTTTTTTAATCTTTGGTAGATTATTACAAGTGGCTGTGATGTTTATGCTTAATGCAAACAAATGATTGTCAGTGTAATCTGCTACATGATCTCTTGAAGAAGATTTATTCTAAAATACAGGCTTTGGGGACCAGCAGAGGTGATGGGTCATACTGAGTAGTGATTTGGTTTGGATTTTTTTAGGAGTGTAAGCTACATTTAGGTAGTTCATCTCACAAAAAAAAAAAAAAAAAGGGACGTTTCTAATAAACTCCCAACTAAATAGTGTCTAGAAACACAACCAAGTATGTAGTGGGCTCATAATAATCTTGTTTATAATGTCTTACATACTAAGCTTTCAGGACACTCGTCATTAAATGGTAAAATCCTGAGTCAATATATAGGAAGCTGGCTTGCGCATAAACGATCACAATTGTTTTCTTCAAACAGACAAGTCTTTCTGCTTTTCACTTGACACATGACTGTGGAATGCTGTTTGACATGACTTGGATTTATTTATACATTGTGTTTGGGCTGCTGCTTGGTGGAGGTTTTAAATGTGCTTGGTTTTCAGTACACTTTTTTCCCCTGCTGTTTACTCGTGTAGAGTGAACATTAAAACAAACAAACAAACAAGCCCAGGCTCCTTACTGTCTCCTTACAGCAGCATGGCTACTTAAAGGTTTCAGCCTGCAGCTCTCTTTGAAGGGCCAACTGTTTTAGAAAGTCCTGGTGCCTGTTTACAAACTGTTCTCTTTGCAGCTCCCATCAAATAATGGAGTTCTCCCGGGGCTGGATGTGGGAGGATAAACCTGCTGACACAGACACTGCTGCTGTTGGTCTGTTCTCCGGGCCTTAGTCATGTAAAATTACTGGTGCCTTTTATGCTTTGCATGGGCGGGGTCAAAATGCAGGCAGTAACACTTTTTTTCTTGATGCTGCAAAGAGCTGTACCAGATTTTAGCAAACACCAAAATTGTTGAATTCGTTCTGAAGCAGATCATCATACTAAACTAGTGCAGTGAGACAATGAGTAAGTAAATGGGAGAGATTGGCAATGTCCAGATTTATTATATGTCTGGGAATTGTGGTATGTTTTTTAACCTTTTCAAGGGGGGATTGCATTTAGTACAGAAGTACTTTTGTCCTTCCTAGAAGTTCCATCTTGTTGAGGTGCCTAACTGGAGAACTTGAAGACTCAGAGCTCTTCTGCAAATGATTTCAGAAAATATTCCTCCCAGGTAATTGTTATTCAAAGTTGGGAAAAAAACAGGGTGGGGAGAAATGGCTGCATGCCAGCAACAGAATATCTTGAAGAGGGATTATTTCTGACTTTTTTTTCCCCAGTTCATCCAGTTGCTCTTACTATATAATTAGCTGTTCATTTTAAGTATAAAAATACTACTTGGACTGACAGAGACATGGGAATTGTTTACTTTTTGATGATTATCTCAACAAAGTAAGTCCTTGAGTGCACTTGGGAATGTGGAGCTCAGGACTGGAAGGAGCCACTTGGTCACTGAGGGGTTTTTGTGGGGGCTTTTCCCTCAGTCACAGGTAGCCATATAAGTTACACATCATTTAGATGTTCAGCAGGCTTTTCTTCTGGCACACTGCGAATTGCAGAGTGTTAGTGGCTATGGAAGCAAACTTTAGGCAGAACTTTAAACTGTACTAAATGATGAAAAGCCAATATTACACTATGCTTCAGAAACTGTGCAGGAAAGATTGAAGTCATTGCCAGTGTCATGAGATTTCTGTTAGCAGTAGAAAACTTAAGCAGACACTTTGAGACATTAATTCTACTAGCAGGGTGATGCTTTCTGGACTCAATAGCCACAGTCAGTCTCCACTGCTTCAGAAAAATGGGAACCCAAAGCAGCCAGATTTTGAATCAGAGGGAAGAATAGTCATCTAGTCCTGACAGATGGTGGTAGAAGTGCTTTTCCAGCTGCTGATCTTTGGAGGAACTTTCAGTGCAGTCTTTTTGTACTTGTTCTTGACTATCTGTAGACATTTATTGACTTGTGTATTCTTCAGACTGTACTTTTAGCTGTGGTTTTCTCTCAGAAGCACTTTACCTTCACGAAGATGGCATGGATGAAGCTAACCCTGGTATTAAACAGTGCTGCAACTTGTCTGTTCCACTTTTACTTGTGGTAACACTTACTAAAAAAAAATTCCACCTTCAGCTGCCCAGTTGTGTGGTGGTGTGGTTATAGTTCTGAGTAGCTGTTTTGGATTTGATAGCTAATATTGAAACAAAATATCATGAAAGCTTTTTCAGTAAGGGCTTGTGAACTGGGGATTGAGGCTGCAAAAGACCTGAATTACAGTCTCTTCTACAACCGAAGGTTTTGTTTTGTAGACATTGGGTAATGCCATGGGTGATGTGGTGTATTCCCTGGAGTGGTACCAAGCATATCTGCTGTTTGAGTAGTAGAGGGAAAATTAGCTCAAGAGCTTGTAATTACATGAAAGATCAAGTTGATTCTGTAATGAGTTATTCCTGCAGGGCAAGACCTGAACTTCTCACTTGGAATTTTTCTTCCTAGTATCTCCTCCTCATCCCAACATCCTTTGTGTGCTCCTACACCCCCGTCCCATTTTGTACACAAGTTAATATTTATTTTATATTTTTTATTCTCCTCCCTTTCTTAAGGATGTCAGTGATGCTGAGGAAGATTAGTGAAAGCATGAAGTGGGTTTTTTTTGTAATTCAAAATAGTATTATGGCTTCCCATACTATGATTGCAGCAGTTACATTGAGACTAAGATCTAATACCTAGAATAAATAATTTGATGCTCATTGTACTTGTGTTCAACATGGTTGAGTAT